TATTTTAAAATGTAATTTATTCCTGTGATGCAAAGCTGAATTTTCAGCATCATTACTCCAGTCTTCAGTGTCACATGATCCTTCAGAAATCATTCTAATATGCTGATTTTCACCTCAAGAAGCATTTCTTATTATTATCTGTGTTGAAAACAGTTGTGCTGTTAATATTTTTGTAGAAAGTAAAAAACAGCATTTATTTAAAACAAAATCCTTTTTAACATTATCAGTGTAATGCATCCTGCTAAATAAAAGTATTAATTACTTAAAAAGAAAAAACTTTACTGACCCTAAACATTTGAATCCTATTAATTAATATTAATAAATGTCTTTATTATTTATTTAATTATTTAATTTGTTTGTTGTTAAGTGACACATTTAAGAAGTACTAAGGAATGCTCTGAAATGCGAGTGAACTACTTTAAGTAATTTAAAGTCAGTGATGGGTATTATCTGTCTCTTTCTATAAGGCTAAGATCATGCAATAGATTTCACGTGATATAAATTTTTTTTTTCAAAGAAAAACATGAAAATCAACACTGACACATTGTAGATGTGCAAAATGTTTGCCATTCTAGGTTATAATTATGAGTTGTTTGTTACCAGTTCCATTTAAATTCTGTATCTTTCTCTCTCGACCCAGGCTGGTGTTGTCTCGGTTTGAGGTGGAGTCTGGAGAGGGTCCAGTGGAGTCAGAGGAGGATGAGGAGGAGGTGTGGTTATTTTGGAAGGACAGTGGTAAGGAGATCAAGAGTAAGAGTATCAGAGAGCTGGCACAGGATGCTAAAGAAGGCCAGCAAGAGGACCAGGAGGTCATTAGCTACTACAGGTCAGCCAACAGGAAATAAACCAAGGGTCAAAGTTTATCAGGGCAAAACCCAAAAATACTTTCAAGTTCAAAATGGTAAAAAAAAAACGAATCAAAACATCAGTTCTCTCAGTAACCTCCTCTCCTGGTTCATTTTCTTTCTTAGATACCAGCTGAACCTGTTTGCACGGATGTGTTTGGACCGCCAGTACTTGGCCATAGAGAAGATATCAGGCCAGCTGGATGTAGACCTGATCCTGCGCTGCATGTCGGATGAAGACCTACCCTATGACCTCCGTGCCTCGTTCTGCCGGCTGATGCTTCACATGCATGTAGACCGTGACCCGCAGGAACAAGTGATGCCTGTGAAGTACGCCAGGCTGTGGTCCGAGATCCCGTCCAAGATCGCCATCGATGAGTACGTTGAAGTGTTTTTTAAACAGCCCTCCATTATTAGTTTTCTGTAGTTGTCTCAACCGAGTGCATTCAATGATGTATTTTGGTTTTAGTTATGATAATGATGGAACCAGTAGAGATGAGATAAAGGAGCGCTTTGCCCTCACTATGGACTTTGTGGAGAACTACCTCAGAGATGTGGTCTGTCAGAATATTCCTTTCTCTGATAAGGAGAAAAACAAACTGACTTTTGAGGTAAGTCGCCCATCCAGCATGTGCAATAGTGACGAGCTTGGGTTGTTACTGGATGTGATTAACTCTTGTGTTGCTTTTTGTGATTTTAAGGTTGTGAACTTGGCAAGAAACCTTATTTACTTTGGCTTTTACAACTTCAGCGACTTGTTGCGTTTGACTAAGATCTTGTTGGCCATTTTGGACTGTGTTCATGTCAGCACCATCTATCCCGTCAACAAAATGGAAAAAGGAGATGAGTCCAAAAGTAAAGAATCTTTTTCTCATATTATAACAGTTTTAGTCAACTGTCCTGTGAATGATGTTCAAACAGTCACTAAAATTTGCACAAGCAGAATTTTGAATTTTTAACAATTTGTTGGTTATGTTTCTCACAGGTAGCAATGTAATGAGATCCATCCATGGTGTTGGGGAGCTGATGACCCAGGTGGTCCTAAGAGGAGGCGGATTCTTACCCACAACCCCCACAACACCCCCTGATGGTGATGTGGTGAAGACCCAGACAGAACCAGAGAAGGAAGACATTCTGGTAATGGACACCAAACTGAAGATCATAGAAATCCTACAGGTGATTAAAAACCCATAATTTAATAATATTTTTAAAATATACTCTAAATTAATATAATTGTATTTCATTTTATAAGTCCTATCTGAGGAACCTTAATTTCAACCAAACAGTCAGCTAGCTTCAAAATGTTGAATGCAGGTAAAAATCTGGTGCAAAACTGAACCTTGTGTTTTTGGTGTTCAGTTTATACTGAATGTACGACTGGACTACAGGATCTCCTGCTTGCTCTGCATCTTCAAACGTGAGTTTGACGAGAGCAACACGCAAGTGGATGCAGTGCCAGCTGCGAATGCAGACGGGCCCAACTGTATCCCAGGTATGCAGTATATCCCGATCACTATCACCCACAAGTTACTCTACAGATTATGTGAGTTTTTCTGTGTGTTTTACAGCTCTGGACTTTGAGAACATTGAAGAACAAGCAGAAGGAATTTTTGGTGGAAGGTAAGGATTCATTTCTTGAATAAGAAGGTGCTTTGTAAGAGAACGTAAGTGTGTAACTATTTTTTTCTGAACTCAGTGAGGAGAACACACCTCTGGATCTTGATGACCATGGTGGAAGAACATTTTTGAGGGTTCTGCTGCACCTCACTATGCACGACTATCCACCGCTTGTGTCTGGAGCCCTACATTTGCTCTTCAGACACTTCAGCCAGAGACAAGAAGTGCTCATGGCTTTCAAACAGGTATGTAACACGATGACATTGCTGTTTTAAATAATTTTAATGAATGGTATTGCCATTTTTAGTCCATTTCTTGCTGTTGATGTTTCAAAGCATACATTTGTTTGTATTTGAATTCTTCATGCATCCCTCCCCTTTATTCCCTATAGGTTCAGCTTCTAGTGACCAGTCAGGATGTTGACAACTACAAGCAGATCAAATCAGACCTTGACCAGCTGCGATCTAATGTGGAAAAATCTGAGCTCTGGGTGTACAAGCGACAGGGGGATGAAGGCATGGATGCAGGGGACGGACTCCCAGCAGAGTCTGACCACAAAAAGAAGGTGGCAGCATTTATAATTTAAGCCAGAGACCCCCAATTACATATTTATGAGTGTTGACTGGCCTACAATATTGCGTATAGTACCATATTAATGCACTGACATTCTTTATGATGCTTACATTGCATCATAGCCTTTTTATATTTACGTTTTTGTGTTGGTTTTACAATTTAGCTGAATTGTTAACAAAAAGCTTTGTTGGCCCCATATATCAGAGCAAAAAAAAAAATGAAAGGGGTAATTTTTACCTTTTTTCTTGTAATTGAAACCTTATAGCTCACTTTTTCTATTATTTCACAGTTACCGTTTTTTTTCTGGGGCAGTCTTTTGTACATAATAGCCATTATTATTTGAATTAAATACAACATTAACAGTTGCTTTATTTAGCCTTTGTCTGCTCTTTATGTAGAGGGACTCTGGTTCGGGCAAAAAAAAGACAGATGGAAGTGGCAGTGACAATTACAGAGATGTGAAGGAGGTAAAGTGTCATTCACACAGTTCACACATGACCATTCAGCATTATAAGGTAGGGTCTTATGTCTAAAGTAGTTAATGCATCTAAGCACTATAAAAGAAGCGAATTATGTAGCCACTTTAACTAAAGAAGATCTAATTAACCAGTCCTGAAGTGTACATCTGGAGGAGAAATAGCATGAGCACCACATGTAAAAGCTATTGCAGACTGATCTGCTTTAATAAACAGTGTTCATTCACTTAATTTACTCCTCTTCAGCTCATCATCTGTCTGTCTTTCTATCTCTAGATCCTGCTGCGTCTCAGCAAACTTTGTGTACAGGAAGGACCATCAGGGAAGAAGAGTAAGAAACAGCAGCAGAGGTTGTTGAGGAACATGGGAGCTCATTCAGTGGTGCTTGAGCTGCTGCAGATCCCTTATGAGAAGGTGCAGTATATGAGTGATCAGTAGTGTAGAGAGGTCTTCTCGACCCCAATCACTTCTTACCCGAACTCGACTGCATTTTCCTGATGGATCTCATATCTATTAGATGGATTTCTGTGTACGAGGTTACAGACGTTTGTTCCGGTCTTATCAGGTCCATTCGGAAAAAGCACATTTATTTTAAATTACCTAAGACCCAAGGTCACTAATCCCGTACCCGACCCATGTCCGAGGCACTCGGCAGAGTTTTGTACCTGAACCTGCTTGGGTCTCGGGGTCAGACCTTGGGTTTTCAAGATCCAAGTGGACCCATGAAGACCTCTAGTCTAGTGTACTCAAGTTTAATAAGTGTGGTACTGGCAGAATGATTTTTATGACATTTGGTTCTTTTAATGCGTCTCGAATGTTCATTCTTCAGCTGATGCGGATGGAAAACTGTACTAAAACACCTGCTATTCAGCAATTCCACAACACTGCTACTGAATCTACTGTACAGCATTCAGTGTAGTCAGATTCCTGACTTAAAGACTCCTATGATCCGGTTCTTTTTAGTGAATCTCCTTGAATAATCTTGAATGAAACCTGTATGCTTCTTGAGTGAATGACTCTTTATAATTTTGTGAATCAAAACATGCAATGTGACCAATTTATTTAAAAAAAAATTATTCAAAAACATGCAGCTTGTCCAGTGTAGTCCAGTTCTTGAGTAAAAGACTCCTATTAGCCAGTTCTTTTTTGTGAATACAATAAACATGCAATATGACCGTAGTCTATTTCTTGAATATATAATTGTCATGATCTAATTCTTAATAAATCAAAAACGAAAATTCTGCCAGTGTCTTACATATAACAACCAGTGTAGTCTGATTCTTGAATAAATGGCTCATATGATCCAATTCTTCTTAGTGAATCAAAAACACGCAACACATCCATTTTTGAATGAATGACTCCTATGAGTTAGTTCTTTTAATGACTAAAAAAACTTTCACAAGTTATTACTTTTCTTTAAAATGATTTACTGTTTTATTAAAATATGAACAGGTGTAAATGTTCTCCAACTCCAAAAAAAAATGTGTGTTAATACTCAGTGATGTACATTTTGACAGGGTGAGGACATTCGAATGCAAGAAATTATGAAACTGGCTCACGAGTTTCTTCAGAACTTCTGTGCAGGCAACCAGCAGAACCAGGCTCTGCTCCACAAACACATCAACCTGTTCCTCAACCCTGGGGTGAGCTCTCCATCTCTCTCTCACACACACACACACACACACATCAGGGAAGGACAAGTGTTGGGTGGGGGGG